TGTGAAAGTGCAGACCACACCTGGCTCTGTTTGCTGCTGTCTCTTTCCCACTGCATGGCATCCTTACAGAGGGTGTTTCTTGTTGATGCAGCACATTAAAAAAAACCCTTCACATCAAGAAACAATCCAAGGCTGCTTTAACACCCACAGCACCATGTGTCCTGGTAGAGTCTGTACTTGTTAACAGCTATATACTGGGATGGGATTTTAGCAGAGACTCCTTGTGAGGAGTCCTAGTGGGTGGTCAGTGGAGACAAGTTTTACCAGCTTTTCTCATGTTTAGTTATATTTTTACTTGGATTAAGTATTACAAGTATTTTTACTTGGATTTCTCAGCGGGACCACTCACCAAAGTCTGTGCAACTGGTAACAGTTGGGAGTACACCCCAGCTCAGAGCCTGAGGGTGCTGGGAGGTTCCTATGCCGCTGGAAGTGCCATCTTTTGTGGGACTATTGCTATGAGCTTTGCATAGTCACGAATGGTACCAGTGCACGTTTCTGATCGTGTAGGGGGCCAAACCTCATTATCCAGGTTGAGATGTATCTTGGATGGCTACGTGTTGTAATACTCTGTGCAGGTACGTGTGCCCTCCTGCCAAGGCTCCTATAGTAAACTAAACATACCTGAACGGGGATATAAACATGTTACATTTAATTTACATTCGTGTAATTAAAGCCTTGCAGTACTCCCAAGCGTTCATAAACACAGATGGATAAACTGAGGTTCAAAGAATGGGAAGATCTGATGAAAATAATACAACTGGTTAGTGCAGAGAGGGAGGATTAGAAACCCAGATCCCCCAGTGCCACTCCTTGTCCCCAGTTCTTTCCCTGGTTCCGTTTCTCCCGCCAGGATTAGCTCTAGCATTTCTGTGTGCTTAGGAAAATCAACAAAGGTTTGCTTATCGCACTGCCATGTTCCCTCACCAGAAAAGCTTAAAACTATGCTTATCCTTAGCATTTTGATGCTTTGGAACAACTAGGACTTGTTTCTCTATGCAGAGCAAACATAAGTCCTTTTGATCCTGTAAACTTTTAGGCAGTAACGCCTAAAATAAAATAATCACTGCATTTAATGAGAGTAATGATTGCATTTGTAGTAGGTAAACGATCCCTACCTGCATGCAGTACATAAAGCGTTTAAGCTTCTTCTATATCAAAGATGTTGTAGGAGTGGAAAGGAAACAAAGACCTGAGGGTTATTGGGCCAGTTTGCTTTTCCACAGTCATATCTTCATACATTCATCTTTTTTTTTAACAGAAGACACAAACTACTGACTTGGGGGAAACTCAGCTGCGTGCACCATCAGGATGAGATTGTGGTCCCTGCTCTTTATTTTTCAGTAGGGCTGAGAGAGGCAAAAAGGGGTCAAGTGACTTCCTCAAGGTCAGAGACCGTCAGTGAGTCATAAAGGAGGGCCTGTTTGCCTTACAGCCCCGCATTCATTCCGCAAGGCGCTCTGCTGCTGGTAGGCTTTTTCTTTGCCTACCCCAGCAATTTCTGGGAGCCTTGGCCATGCTGCTGCTCTTGCCTCTGGTGACATTTATCAGAGAGATTTGTGGTAAAATGAAGGGGTATCGGCAGGTCTGTGTAAGAACACGGCAGCACTGGATTCTGCATATGTGAGGGGGAGTCCCTTTAAGGCAAAACTCTTGGAGCTTAAACTGAAACCCAGCTAGTAGCTTAGTGAAAGAAATGTCAGCAGCACTGCCAATGGCAAGTGGTGAAAATCCTATGCTGATTTAAAAAAAAAAAAAAAAAAATCACAATAATTTAAAAAACAGATTTGGGAATCCTTTGAAATGGACTAAATAGTTCAGGTTGTGGTGATGCCACGCAGTTCCACAACAGGGGACCATAGAAAACACACCAAATATTGTGGGGATCTAATTAAATACAAGAGCTGGCCACCCCACCTCACGGTGTGAGAATTGCCCTTTGAACAGTGCTCTACAAAAGCAGTGGAGCTAAACAAGAATTTTTGTGCATGATTGTGCCTAAATTTACATTCTGCAAGGCAACACAGGCACTGACGACAGTTTAGTGTTTGCCCACATGTTCTTACTCATGTAATCAAGTCAGATTAAAAAAAAAACAACAACAAAACAAATGAAAACCAAACAACCCACCCCAGCCTTCACCCATGAGATTGCCCCAAATCCCCTTTGGGTGTATATTTCTCACCTACTTATTTGGCTGAGTGCATCTCTACCTGTTGTTGATGCTCTCCTCTGACTGGTATGCTGCATCTAAACAAGTAATTGTGTGTGTGTTTATCTATATTTGTGATGCAAAACAGCTCTGACAGGTGGATGTGTGGTGGCCACATGAAAAATGACAGTGCAGAAGCAAGGTGGGCTTCTTAAATGCTAAGCTTAGAGAGTAAGCGGAGGTGCTAAAAGAACTTGATAAGAGGGATGGTCTGATGACAGCTGCTAATGCTATCGGGTATACATCAGAGCTAAGTGAAAAAACGCTTTCTCTAGAGCTAATATCTATTGCTGTTATGCTCTCGGCGTGATGCAGTTTTATTTATTTAAAAAACAGCTCTAGGAACCCCTTCAGTGCTCATAAGCAAAACTCCCTCCATCTCCCCTCCTCCCCATGCCAAACAACACTGACTTCAACTCTTAACAGTATGCACGGGTGCCTCTGCTAGAGCTTGCTGTGTAAAGAACCTGGTGGCTTCTGCTGCACCACACTTAGAAAATAAAGTCCCACTGCTGCACCTCCTGAAGTTGCTATTAGAAAGGCATACTAATTATTATGACAGTTCTGGGGAAACTCCCCCCCGTTCCTTCCCTTTCCCCTTCCCTTTCCCCTTCCCTTTCCCCTTCCCTTTCCCCTTCCCCCACTAAGTCACAGATCCTCCTGCCTAGAATGGGAGCTCTGAGACTGGGCTAGGAGTAACAACACTGTAATTCCAGTTAACTGCATGGTCCCCTCTCCAACATCATGCAGGGCATTTATTTGAAATTGCTTGCAGACAGCCCAGCAGACACACACAAAGCTAGGCATTTCCGAGACAAATGCTGTTCTCTGCTCTGTGCGTGCCATCTACTGAAAACATGTGACAACCATCTGTGCGAAATGACAGCTTGACCTGCTGTGAGGTTATCCCAGGAAAAGCACTGCTTGCAACTCCAGGGTTAATTATACTCATCTCCTCCTGTGTTCGCACTGGTTAAATTTAGGAAAAAATCTGTTCAAATCTAGGTTAAAGATGGAGCACGTTTCTCTCACTGTCCGATTGCCACTGCTGACAAGATTAGACACGACCAACTGTGAAAAAAATTCCCCACACAAACCCAAAATGGTAAATGAGCTGGACAATGACCATTACGAAGGACAACTCCGTCAGCAGGAGCGGACACAATTCTAGCAAGTGGAACTTGTATACTCAGCAGAAAGTGCCACAGAAGCAAATCCCATCCCTCCCTCCCACTATATCTACCCTCTACCTACCACGTCTCATTTCTATCTACCAGAGATACTGCCTGCGAGTACTTTTCTGAGCCCAGGAACTCGCCAAACTATATTATTCATAGTATTCTGGGCTCTTTGTATAACCCTGCCAATCTAAACGATCCTTGCCAAATACAATGGATTTTAATAAACCTGTGAACAGAAATTTGGAGAGACACACAATCACAGCTACGCAATTATGGTATCGCTCTGGAATCTCACCTGCCTCTCCCTCTATACGATTTTAACAGGCTTTTGAAGGGAGAGTATTTGAAAATATGATGAAAGAGGGCTAAATTGTGCCCCCATTACAGCCCAAAAAGCATGTTGAGTGTAACAGATTGGCATGGTTTAAGACAAGAGAAGATGCTGGCTTGGTGTTTCAAACTATTCGCTTTATTGTGTGTCTTTTTTAGCACTAGACAACAGGAAAGAAAGCTAACCAACTCTGTCTAGAAACCCCAAATCCAAGTGATGGTGACAGCTGACACACTAATGTCCTGATTTTCGCCACTTTTCCCCCCCAAGGATATAAAGGGTAATGAGTGACCCTTCATCCTTCTGGAAAACAGCAGAGCTTTATTGCTGTTGTCATTTTGTGCACCTTGTCCAGGTTATGAACACTTTCTTCCCTGTACATACCTAGGCACAAGTTTTTGTTTTAGAGATGTTTTCAGTCTTAGAAAGAAAAAAATCCCTGTGCTGCTAGGGACCAAAAATAACCCCTGATCCCGCAGTTCCTGCTTGAGTAAAGCTCCTTGAAGTCAACAGGAGTTCTGTCTCTGTAAGGACTTCCGAATCAGACTACAAAGTAGTTAACCCCCCCCCCCCCAGCCCTCCCCTCCATCTTCCTGCAGCACTTCTAAACAGATTGCAGGGAGCAAAGGGAGTGATGGTCAAAAGCCTACTGTCCACAGCGGGGACTGGCAGCGCAAAGCCAGGACTGTATCTGCTTTCAACTTTCATTGCCAAGAGGCCAAAAAAATCCTTTTTCTATCTAGTACTATTTGGAGCTATTGCAGCAGCCTCCAAACCCTTCCCCTTCCTTACATCAAGCGTGGTGGAAGGAGTCTCTCCTCTGCGATACCGTTAATTACAGGCACCAGAACCGGAGCTGCGGCGAAGGGACTTGAAGGACACCTCGGGCTGAGGGAAAAACCCAGCCTGCGAGCTCGGCCGGTTCGCGAGCCACGGTTTCGCCGGGTCCGAGCATCCCACGGACGCGCCGCCGCCGTGTCGCCTGTCTCGCGGGGGCAGAGGCCGCCGGGGTTACCGGGCGGCGGCGGCGGCGGCAGCCCCGGGGAGGGTCCCCGGCGCCCCCTCCCCAGCGCTGCCCGGGGCACCGGCAACGCTGCCGTGCCGAACGGGAGAGCAGAAATAAAAATGGAAGACAACGGAAGGGGGGGGGGGGGGGGGGGTGCGGGGTGTGGGGTGTGAAATGAGCCGAGGAGCGAGGCAGCGCTATTCCGCGGAGGGGAAGAAGGGAGGTGTGTGCGCGGCGGCGGAGGCGGGGGGACCCCGCCGCCCCACTGACCTGCCAGGCTGTTGTAGCAGTCAACCTCGATGGCCTCCACCGCCTGCCGCTGCTCCTCGCTGAGCCCGGCGGCGGCGGCGGCGGCGGCGGGAGGGCGCTGCCCGGCCGGCTCCTGGCTCAGCAGCAGCAGCAGCGCCTTCAGCTCCAGCAAGGCGCGGTGGTACTTGCCGATGGCCTCCCGGAATTTCTTGTCCTTGTAGCACTGCGCCCCTTCGCTCTTGAAATCCAGCGCCCGCCCGATCAGCTCGCCCGGCTCCGCGCCGCAAGCGGCGGCCGCCGCCGCCCGCGGCTGGGCTCCCCCCGCCGGGCCGTGCCCATCGCCCGCCCCGCGGCCGCCGGCGTTCAGCTTCCCCGCCGCCGGGCTCGCCCTCTCCATGGCCGCGGCGCCGCCCGCCCTTCCGCGCCGCCCTACGCGGGCGATGCCGCGCCGCTGCCGGCCTTGCCACCCCCCCACCCCCCCTCGCCGCTCACCCGGCTCCGCCGCCCGCTCCCATCCTCCGGCGGCCGCCGCTCCTCCTCCTCCTCCTCCCCCCCCCCACCCGCGGACACCGCCAACCCACGCCCCGCACCGCCGTGACCCCCCCGCCCCCCCCCGGCGCCGCGCAGCGTGGGGCGGTGGGGGCGAGGTTGAAGCGTGGGAGTGCAAGGGGCGAGTGCGTGCCCGACCCCTCTGCTCCCCAAGCCGGGCTGCCCCGCGGGGCTCCCCCCGGCCCCCTGTGCCGTGCCCTCCGGCACCTGGGGCTCTGTGTCCCTGCCCGCAGGCCGGGCATCCCACCCCCTCCTCACCCCAGTTTCCCCTCGCCTCTCGCGGATCCCACCAGTGCCCACCCACCACCTACACCCACTCGTGGTCCCTCAAGGTGCTGTGGTGTGGGTACGCCGTGGCGCCGGGCGAACAAACAAGCCTGCAGTGTCCTCTGCATCAGGGCAGCAAAAGCAAAAGCCCCTTCAGCTGCCCCGGCACCGGCTGCTCGGGGACTTTGATTTTCCTGAATCAGGTTTCCCCACGTGCTGCTGGAAAATGGGTCGATGCTCACCGGTGCCAGGAACGTTGCCTGGTTTGGGGGTACCAGTGGGGAGTGGCTCTCCTCATGCGGACAAACAGTAGAAGAATTGCTCTCGGCGCCAGACTTTGCTTTGTTAGGCCAAACACCGGGTCTGCATTGTGTGTTAGAGCAGTTTGATGTATTTTGGGTGCATTGTTGCGCCAAGGTATTTTGTAGGTCGTACCTCATGCTTAAAAATGAGAGGATGGATGAAAATATAGTGAGATTTTTTTTTCTCAACAATATATTGGGAAGCTCATTTTCATTATCCATGTAGCTTTTACATGGTAAAGCTGCAGCCGTGGTACAATGTGTTCAAGCTTCCCTCTGCAACCAGGAGGACATTTTGAAATGGAGACTTAAGTTTCTCTTTGAGATCTATCCAGGCTAGAGCGATGGCATGTGGTGGTGCAGTGCTGGGCAAACTGGGATAGCTGTGCAGCGCAGTGCCGTGTAAAGGTATTAATGCAGGTCAGGAACCGGTACCTGGATAATTCCTTGTTAGCAGGGCTAATAAGTTGGGCTTTATGCACTGGTAACGTGAGTCTGCTGCTGCTAGGTTTCTGAACCTTGCCGAGGTTGTGGTCACAGCATGGTACAGACATACATCTACTCACTTGACTCCAAGAGCCAGAGCCTTAGGGAGAAGCAAATGACATCATACCTGTGATAAAAGTATACTTTTGAAAATACTTGTATGAGAGAAATTAGAGCTAAGATATTCAGCAATGATGGCGCGATTTCAAGTGCTTTGATTTCCAGGTGCCCTACCAGACACATCTTCACGAAATCTTAGTTTATGAAAATGCATGCTCAGCATTTTCAGGTACTTCAAGCCAAGAATAAGATAAGTTACAAATCTTGCTCAAAGTATGCGTGATCTAGAATCTGGAAATCATGGGGGGCGGGTGTGGTGGTGGTGGGTATTAATCACAGTAGCTGGAGTGGAACTGATGTGTGGAACCTAAAGAAGGAAAATTCCTGCTGGGTCATTTTCAAATATGTCTGCAAGTCATATTGCACAAAGTAAGTTTAAATAACTTCAGAGGTTTTGTTTTTTCTGTTATTGATTGTCATTCAGGAGAATTCACAAGGACAATGTACGTCTCTTGTGCTGGAACACTGACTTTGCCAGGGGAAAGGAGATTGCTACAGAGGTTTAATTTCTCAGATCTGAGCAGCTGCAGAGGCAATCGAAGAAGGGACTGGTTTCTTGGAGGGTGGTATGGCAAAGTGACATTGGGAGTTGGTGTTGCTGCCCTCTTTCAGAGTTTGCCTGAGCCCATGGACGTACGTGGTATAGGGGGCACTGAGACATAGGTGACTTTTCCTGCTCTCCCCTCCACGTACTAGCCTTAAGGAAATCTCTGAGATTTCTTTCTTTGGTTACTGGACAACCATGGATGCCTGAAACAAGCTATGCAAAACTGGAGTTTTCTTGCAGAAGAGTCTGGCAGTGGTCGCTGCCAATATGGGTGCAGATGCGGTCAGAAAAGATCACAAAATATTGACAAATCTTGCTGCTCCTCTCATTAGGAACTATACCGAACATACCAAACTGTGGCTTAGTCCCAAATGTTGCCCAGATGAGTCTTCCATCTTGTAGTTCTTCCAGAAATGCCCAAGCTCTCTTCCTGACAGATTGCTGGTGAATATGAAGAGGAATGTCACAACTGTGTAGATCCCAAAATAGATGATAACAGAAGTGTCTGAGCGACTGCTGTTGTTGGCCATCTTAGACTCTGTTGGTACCAAACAGTATCCCTCAGCTGAGAGCTGGATCTCTCAGCCAGAGAATTTAAAGCTGCCGTAAGATTTGTGCAGGATGGCTGGCAAAGGTCAATTTAGTCCATCAGCTTCTTCCTCCTAGAGAGTAGCTAAGTAGTGTGTTGGCTGCACTAAAATATTTAGGAAACATCACAACGTCAGTCATAGGGACACCACATTGACCATTCTTATAAGGAACCAGTTTTATTTGTTTCTTTTTCAAGGGGAACATGGTGCTTGAGGGAGAACACGAGAAGCTATTGCCTATCCAAGTCAGACAAGATTTGTACTTGAGAGATACCTCACATTTAACATATGACATGACGTCCAGATCTAGATTTCAGCTGCCTGAGGCCCACTACAGCCTTGCAGATGGTCAACATCTTTCAAGATATCCAGCTTGAAAACCTGACAGGAACCTGAAAGCATCAGAAAGAGTAAGTTTATATATTATATAGGTAAACTGGACTATGAAATAAGGGATACATTCAGATAAAATGAAGCTAGTTTGCAGTCGTTATCTGTATATGGGGTGCTAAGGTCATGGTCAGTATTAGCTGTCATGCCTGTCTTCTGTCCAATGGTGGGGGGTTTTTTCTCCGTAAAAGCAGAACATGCTTATCTGTCTCATTCTGTAATAGATGGGGTGTGCCTGTCTGTCTGGATGCCCCTAGGTACTGTGAGTGTCTAAAACTGCCAGGGTGTGCCTATCTCTCCTCCTCCACACTGAGATTTCCTTAGCACGTTCCAAAAGCGTACACTTGCATTGCTCTATTATTATTTTTATTATTATTAATAATATTATTATTATTATGCAGTGGTCACATGCTTCGTAGGGTGTTTTAGGAAGTGTGACTCACTAAATCATAATTATGTACTCACAGTTTACCTGAAGAAAATTTCCTTTGTGGGGTCCTGTTTGTGGTTGGGAGATGTGTTATTGGGTGAAACTGTAAATATTGATAAAGATACTGGCCATGTACCTGTGAGATCTTCAGACCTTCCTCTAGCTGCAATTTTTTCTGTCTGCCTAATAAGATGATTAATTTACAGGTAGGTGTAAAACAAATTTCTCCCATTTCAGGGCAGTGCTGTAAGGAAACTGGAAAGGCTTCTGAGGAGAGCTAAGGAGGCTGGGCACCTGGGCTCTGGTGATCCATTCTTCTAGCTGGATGTGAATTTGCTGCAGAATTTATGATTTTGTGTGAGATTTTTATAAATTGAAACTTTAAGGGCCGCTCTGAGGACTCAAGTCTATATACATTTAAAACCAGATATCAATTTGGAAAGCAGCGTAGCCTGTAGGGCCTCAGTCCAGTTCTCCTTTGCATTCACTGGCATTGATGGGACTGTTGGCCATCTGGGAATTGTTTCATCAAGTCCTTCATGAATACTTGTAGGGGTGAACCACAAGCCTCACCCCGTTCTGAATGGGCCAAAACCAGATTGTGAGGAAAATGGTGTCAAGCCCTTGTGAACGGGAGATCCCTCACTGCCTCCGTTCAGCTGCAGAATTCCCAAGCTGCAGCGAACTTCCAGCATACACAGCTCCTGCTGCTACAGTCTGTCACCAGCTTAGTCAATCATCCATTATTTATTTCCAAGCATGTAAGGCTCTGCACCATAGACTTTCGTCCATGTACAGGGAAAAGAAGAGGCAGAGCTTCTGAAAGACCTGGGAAAACAAAAGCAGAGAAGCCTCTGAAATCCTTTGCTTGGGAGATTGTCTTACGTAGTTATATCCAAGGAAGAGAGGAAAAGGAAATAAAATCATATGCAACAAAATGTTGCAAACTTGGTACAAATTCCTTTGATCTCTCCATATCATTTCTTGCAGTCAGCAATTCCTTTTGGCACAAGAGATCCTTTGTTTACAAGTGTTCATCAAAAGCAACACACTTAACTTAAAGAGTATTGTGCGTGTGTTTTCTTCCTCGCTCTGGGTTGTGTGATCGGTCAGTTGGTCCTGCGGGGCTGTTTGATGCCTGCTGATTGCCTGGTTGAGAATGGTTAATCAGGACTACAGTGAATTTCCCAGGAATAGTATACAATCAAGGAAGAACAGTCAACAGAAATATTTGCAGGCAAATAAGAGTGTCCCTGTGACTAGTCATTCCTTGGGCATGTATATGAGCAGCATCTTTGTCACAGGAACGTTTGCTGATAAAGAATATTAAGAGGTAGATGGTTAACCAGAAGAGCTGTTCAGAATTAAAATGACTGTTCCAAATTCTGTTTTTAACATACTGGATTCTTTCTTTCTTTTTCTTAAAGACGGTAACAAATTGCTAAATCAGAGGCTTAGCCATGGTGGCTAAAGGACCCAGGATGGGTGCAAATCAAAACCATTTATCATCATTCCCAGTGTTTCTTTTTGCACTTTAATTAAAAATTAGTATTCTGATTTGCAGGCTGGTTGCACTGGAAGGGTGTGCTGTCAACAAAGTTAGAGAAACGCTTTTAAAGAAACATTCTTCAAATCAGGTGTTGACAGCCCATCTGCAGGCTGCAGCTATAATCTCTCAAGTGACCCCCTCTTCTGGGAGAGCTCTTGCACTTTACTCAGGCTGGACTGAAGAGCAGTGAGGTTGATTCCTCTCTTG